TAATTGAATATGCCACCTTTACGTGTTCTTCAATAAATAAATAAAATAAATATGTTGGGACATTAACACACATCACCACCTAGTTCCATGGTAAGCTACGAGGCTTGTGTTATAGCTACCAGATAGTTGCTACACTACATCTGTACTAATATTATAAAGAGGTAAAGTTTGTGATATTGTGAGTTTCTGATGTTGTAGGGGGTAATCTCTGGACCTACTGAACCGATTTTCAAAATTCTTTTACCAATAGAAAGCCACGTTTTTTCTGAGTGTCATAGGCTATATATTAACCCGAAGAATGAAAAGAATTTTTCATGGTAGTCGGATTTGCAAAGTAAGTCGGAGAAAAAACGGTAAAACGTAAACGTTTCTTACGAACGCTGCCTTAACGATGAGAGATATATGATTATGTTCTAGAGAAAAGTTGTAGAGCTTAATAATGCCTACAAAGAAGTCAGCGGTAGCATATGTCTAACTTTTATATTTAAGTCACAAAAAGTAGTTTTTTATATTAATAAATAATTTAAATCGGTAGGTCATGTTTATTGGTCATATTATCAACAATTATGAATTCTTATCAAAATAAGTAAATTTATCGTCTAAAATATTTAATACAAAAAACTTTTCCCTTTTACTGCATATAATTTGGACAAATGGTTAAAGAGATAATACGACATACACGTAGGTATGGAACCGCGACCGCGTCGTAACCTATTGAGTGATATTTCTATAAGATGGGTTTTTTTTCATATATAATACGTCAATCTATCTATATTAATATTATAAAGAGGTAAAGTTTATGAGTTTGTGAGTTTGTGACGTTGTACGGGGTAATCTCTAGATCTACTAAATCGATTTAGATGAAATTTGGTAAGAAGATAGTTTGAGACCCTGGGAAGGACATAAAATACTTTTATCCCGGAAATTATCCCTTAAGGGGGTGAAAATGGGGATGAAAGTTTGTATGGGGAAGCAAGCCAGGGACGAACCCGAGCGAAGCGAGGGTTAGTCGCTAGTATAATATACATATAGCTTTAAATACATACATTTTATAAATATAAACACCCATGACTGGAGTACTAACATTTGTACTCATCGCACAAACGAATACCCTAAGCGGGATTTGAACCCGCATAATAAGTAGGGTCACTACAAACTAAGCCGATAAAAACTGTTTATAAGTTAGAAAAAATATTTTTGGCCTATTCGGGACTACAAAGCAAGACATCAGACATTTGTTAGTAGCTTTTCTTAGTTAGGCAATCATTGTCATAACCAAACCGAGGGAAACTAGTGATGGGCGTTAAATGAACGGACTAGTTCAATCAACCAGTCGACGTGACGGTTCGACGGTTCACGTTTTTCGAATGGACTAGTTCATTTCTTAGACTAAAACAGACGTAAACAAGGAGTTCGTTTGTCGTCAATTGTTTATAGTGGTTTGATATTTGAATGCGAGTTTTAGAGTGAGATAGGCCTATCATATTATTAGAGCTGTAGCAAACCGTATGTATTCGTTACTGAGTAACGGGTACGCCATCTAGTACCGAGTACCGAAACGTTACTCACGAATGCATTTCGTTACTCGCATTTTCCGTACATATTTTCGTACTAATGTTTTTATTGATTTTTTATTCAGCAAAATACAACTTTCAGTTAATACTTAATACCATTGATGAGTAAATTAGAGAGTTTATTTATTTATTTCGAGTTGCATGATTTCCAGATCTTAGAAATTTTGTTTAGAAACAATTTTCAATTAGAAACAACCATTATATTTAGAACACATTTTTAGTTTTTTATCCAACAAATACTTATAATTTTTACTAAATGATTATGTCAAATGAAATCAAAATATACTTTATTCAAATAAACTTTTACAAGCTCTTTTGAATCGTCAATTTTACATTTTAAATTAAAATTAAATGTTAGTCCCTTAGGAACTACCACCGGCTCGGAATAAAGTTTTCTGCTGAGAAGAACCGGCGAGAAACTCAACAACGGCTCTTTTAAAATAATAATTGTGTACAATATTGTAATACAATAATTATCTATTTATCCTACGTGAGACATGATCATGTGATTATGTGTAATACATACAGATTATGATTTGATAAATCATTCGCGCAATTGATTTTAAATAAAATATGCATTACGACGTCACACTAACGTGATAGACGCCGTTACTCATTCATTTTTAAATTACCTATTTTTATATTTATTATTTAATTTCAAAAATTATTAATAAAAAAATATTGTTAGTAAAGTTTTTTTTTAATTATATAGATTTATAAATAATTAAAATTTACGGGTTCTGGATATCATGTAACTCTCCAATTGAAATGGTTTGTTGATCGTGCATTATTCCACAGAAAACAACGCGACGTCAACGATATACGGTATAACGTATAATTTATACCGTACGCAATACATACGCAACACGACTCGATACGATGCTCTACGAGTATGTTATCGGGTATCAAAAGTAACGAGTAACGATTCAAAAGTAACGAGTACTGATGCTATAGTAACGAATGCATACGGGTACGCTATTTGTCGTTACTTTTACACCTTGACATATTATTGTTGTGGTCAATGTAGAAAAGAAATGCCATAATTATTATAGTTTCAATTTTTTTGCAAGTGATAATATTTTGATGTGCGCGTAAATATTAAGGTATCAATCGTTTCGTCTCACAACATAAACTAGTAAAGATAGGATAGACTGTCTAGCGTCTACAACTACATTGAAGTCGGAAGCGGAATGTGAACAGTATATACCAATGTACTCTGTGATGTGAACCATAGTCCACGAATTGAACTAGTTGATCGACTAGTCGATAAAATGAAATGAACGGTCTAGTTTCGTTCACGCCAAATACGTCGACGACCCATCGCTAAGGGAAACTTATCACGTTAAGGTGTATATGATATGTAAATGTATGTGTATACTTACACCGGTAGGCCCATATAAATTGTCGATCCATCCTGGCACAGGATCACGCACCGTCGATATCGCTGTAACCAAATATATATTGAGCCTTTATATTTTTTTTACGTACTTCTAATTTTACGACGATTTCGTAAAATACTGATATTACATAGTTATAATTTATTTTTAACTGATTACTAGCGACTAACTCTTGCTCCGCTCGGGTTCATCCCTACTTACATTTAAACGGTTAGTGTAGATTTTTCAGAGGTGAGATATTTTAAATCAATAAAAAGTTTCCTATATGTTGACCCGGATAACCAGCTATCACCATACTAAATTTATCAAAATCCCTTCCAGTGGGTTTTCCGTAATATGGTAATAGACAGACAGACAGACAAACAGACAAAAATTTTAAAACTATAGATTCAGCCTCTGTATAGCCATCGATAATAATGTCTATTTTAATAAGATTTTACAAAAAATACTTAATGTACAGATAAGGCTTGGTTACAATTTTATTATGTAGAGATAAAAGAATATATATTGATATAACTTAACTGCCTCGGTGGTGTAGTGGCTAGCATGTACGGCTGGAGGTCATACACTCGGAGGTCCTGGGTTCGAGTCCCGGGTCGGGTCAAGTTTAGTTATTGATTTTTTCTGTATAGTAAGCCTCAGTAACAGCCCGGAGTCGGAAAGGTGGCGGTGTTTCACCCCCGTGCCTCGGAGAGCACGTAAAGCCGTCGGTCCTGCGCCTTAACTCTCACCAGTCGTGTCGTCCCACCGGAGTGAGAGAGTGACAGGAATAGAGTGTGCACTTGTGCCTACGCGTACACTTGTGCACTATAATATCTCCTGCGCAGTTGGCTAGTCTCAATGAGATTGGCCGCCGTGGCCGGAATCGGTCAGGAGAACATCATATTGATATACATATGTATACATATATACAAAATGCTCTAGATATTTTCAAAGAAACAAACAGCAAACGGTACCCAGATGGTTAGATCAATCAAGATAAATGAAATAAAGTTAAAGTGAAATAATATAGAGTAGCTACTGGGCATATGCCTCTCTTCAACGCGAGGGAGATCAGGCCATAGTTGACCAAACTGGCCAAGTGCGAGTTGGTGGACTTCAAATGTCTTTTTAAAATTTGATCGGTTCTCACAGGCATGCAGGTTTCCCCTTGATGTTTTCCTTCACTGTAACACCTCTTGCGGAATCATGTTGAAAATTATTCACACGTGAGAATATCAGAGGTGCGAGACCCGGGGTTTGAACCCGCTTAATATCGTTTCCCAAGCAAGCGCGTTAACCACTACCTAATAGTACTAACTAGTATTCAATAATATACATACATATACTATATTTACCTATGGAAGGTCTAATTATGGCAACCGGGAGTCCTTGAGAATGTTTCTGGATGATGTCTTCCGCTGCAGATTTCGTATAAGCGTATGTGTTGGGATAATCACCTATTAATCTTAGAAAAGCAAAACACATTTTAAATAGTTTTATCAAATTTTTACTCCATTTCATCTGATATAATTTTATATCCATTCCGAATTTTACTCAAACCCGTAACGGCCTGAAGAATTTATAAAAACTATAACATTGTTACTATTTTCAATAAAACTATCTTTTCGAATTATTTCGCGGACTTATTTTGATTTTTGGCTCCAGACGTTTCGAATGCACTCATGGTTACGGGAGAGACTAAGATTATAGACGTATCAAAGGCATTATATTATACTTATTATAGACAGTGCCTACCCACTATTTTACAACAATGATTTCAAAAATAATATGAAAAGATAGTTTTATTAAAAATGTGTCATATTCGCGTAAATCTAAGAAAGTATTATCATTGTTACTACTTCGGACATTATACATTATTATATTATTAGTTAATATTGCCTTTAGGTCGTAATAATGATGTTATTGTCCTAATAAAAATTATTTAATGTGTCTGTGTGTATGGATGTATGTCTATAAGAATTTGTTACTTACACTTACATGTAGTCAAAATTAAGATTCATCGCCAGCAAGACAATTAAGATACTCACCCAAGCGTCACCTTCTTTAAAGTATTCTCATCTATATTCTCAACCAGGTCAATGAGCTTCTCTCCAGAGAGGTTGCTGTCATAGAACTTTTCGTCGATCTCACTCAAGTGGCAGTTACTGAAACATGGGAATAATTAATGACATTTTTCAAATCCTGTTGTTTCAGACAAACATGTTAGTACCAAAATTTATGTTAGCCAGATTAGGCCAGGTGTCCCTATAATCATCATGTCGTGGTGGGGAGGAGGGGGGGGGGGAGGGTCTCTTTAGCGTCCGGCAAACGAGCCGGGCACGATGCCAAGAAACTTACTGGGAGGCGGCCCACCTTGTTAGGCGGTGTATTATGTGGGTTGCTCTTGGTACTTCTCTGACAGCAGAGTGGACTGTGGAGCTACCCTATGGCTCTTGTGGTCTGCTTCGGCAGACCTGCCGTCAGGGCGTCGTAGTTGAGTACGTAACCGATCCTGTAACACCTCATAAAGACGTGTGAGGTTCCGTTGGTTTTTAGTGTGTAGGTAGTACTGGCTTTGCCGGTGAGTCTCACATAACCACCTGTTTGTATGTAGATGGTATGCCTAAATATTCAAAAATTTCCCAACGATAAAATCCCAATTTATTCCTATAATCACACTACTACTTACTGTTAGTACTCCAACTACGAATAATATTTGCTCAATCGATTCTATTAAAATACTTTTAAGCTAGTTAAAAACTTATCTTCGCTTCACTCGAATGTGTCTCTGGATAAAAATTTTACTGTCAACTGGCAACTTCCCTAGATTCACGCGGGTGCGTCCCTAAGCTTGAATAGTTTAGGAACGCATAAAAGACAAACGTCCAAAGATTATTATTTTTCGCAGTACTATCGCATGCTTATACAAAATGACCCACCAGAGTTTCATCACAATCCGATCAATGGTTTAGGCACGCATAGAGGATACACATACGAACGTTCATTTTTATTTTTATATGTAGATAGTAGTCTGTATGTTAATCCACGTCATAGACTATCTGTGTACTAAAATTCTTTCAAATCCGTCCAGCTGTTATAATAAACTGTTACACTAACATACACATAAACATTTTCGAATGTACAATAGTAGTGGAATATTATGATGTAATGAACAAACAATGTAATGTACCTGTAAGCGGTTGAAATATAGACAAGTGCCCGTAATTTGGTACATGCATTTGCTAGCTGTAGCATCTCTCTCGTCCCTCGTACGTTGATCTCCACAGCTGTCTTTAACGCTTCATCGAAGCGCACTGTTGCGGCGCCGTGGAAAATAAACTCGACCTGAGAAAGAAACGAGCGACTTATCCTCGCCCTGCTCGGGTGCATTCTTAGGTGCCTAGGTGCCACTCTCATATTATGTACAAAATCTGTCCATCCACTTGGGTGCTACGATGTCACAGACAGGCACAAAGATTCACAGGTATACAAATTAACCTTATGTACGAGTATAACCCAACTCTTTTTGCATAAACGCACAGACATTACAACCAAAAGACTCCGCTTTCATTATGGACTAAGATCCCACTGCAAGATTGCTACGTTCATAGCGTATTTAATCGAAATCATTTTTTTATATACAATAATAAAAGGGACAATATGTTTTGACCGGGGTGCCTATTCAAATGAGCCCGCTAGTATGTTTAATTAACTAAATAATAGTTGACTTTTTGGAATAAAAACGATGCATTTGTTATTACAATGAATTATACTGCTGCCATTGCGCATTTGGCCGCAACCTCTGCGCAGCCAGGTGTAAGCGGGTCATATTTTGGGACGTTTATACGTTCATCGCGTATGTTCATCATTTATATATCAAATTAAAGCTAATTTTTTTCTGTACTTAATAAACTACGTCTGCCTATGTAAAAGTGGCCGCAAAAGTGGTTGCGAGTCATTCAAAATGTTTTTGTTACATTTATACGTTCATGGCGTATATTCATCATTTATATATCAAATTAAAGCTATTTTTTTCTGTGCATGATAAGATACCTCTACCTATGTAAAAGTGGCCCCAAAGGCAAGAAAAGAAGGAAAGGATATAATATCATATGTCATCTGTCAGACAATAACAACGGTTACCATAGCAAAGATAGATTAAAGTAAAAGAGAGTTAGCGCGTTAGTTATCTGTTCGTTATCGCGGTTGTATCGCGGTATCAAACAGTTAAACAGTTGTTATTTTTGGATATCAAATTAATGTTGTGTTCTTAAATTAAAATTTGTAAATTAAAACTATAAAATATTATATATTGTAACTATTCACATTTTAACTATATATATATACACCACCCTTAATTTTAAGCATAATTTTTTGTTGACAATTGTTTGGTGAAAAAAATACCGCAAAGGTAATTAAGGAGATTAGACGCCTTTGTTTCCTTCAAAAAAGTCATAAAATTCCTGGAAATGCACGTGTGCGCTTAATTATAGTCAATTAGCAGTAATTAGTGAATATTTGCATAATATGGATTGAAGCCACAAATACTGTTTTTGTTATTTTAGAAGCTTAGTTGAGTTCCAATTATTGAACAAGACACTTCTACTTTGATCCGCGATTATTAGAAATACTGCAAGATGGATCTGACCGAGGCTGAATGATCTCGAATTGTGACTTTGCTTGAAACTGGACAAAGTCAACGTCAAGTGGCTCAAGCTTTTTCTGTGAGCCGTTCTACGGTCCAGAAAGTGTACAAACGTTACATAGAGACTGGTGGCTTTGTACGACGACATGGTTCCGGCCGACGAAGAGCCACATCAGAGCGTGATGATCGATTTATTGTGTCATCAGCTCTAAGAAATCGTCATCGCACAAGGGTTGACGTTCGAAATCTCCTGAGAGAAGTGAGAGGTGCTTAGCGAGTGCTTAGCGAGTGGACAGTAAGGCGCCGACTTAGAGCCGCTTCCCTGATGCCACGCAAGTTCGCAACTGACCCCAAACTCACCCCTGCACATCGAATTGCAAGATTACTTTTTGCCCGAGATCACGTGAATTGGAATTTGGAGCAGTGGAAGAAGGTTCTTATTACTGACGAAAGCAGAATGTGTTTGCATGGTGCTGACGGTCGTAATTTTGTTTACCGGCGACCAGGTGAAAGATATGCACCATGCACTATGCGGGAAACAGTGTCATATGGAGGGGGATCAGTTATTTTTTGGGCAGGATTCTGTTACGAAGCGATAACCGAGCTTATATTTATAGAAAATGGATCCCTTACAGTATAGGTATACATTGGAGAAGATTTTCTGCTTCTACAAGATAATGCTCGCCCACACACTGCTACATCAGTAAGGCAGTATCAATAGCAGAGGTCGGAGTGTCTATATTGCCTAGCCAGCGCGAAGCCCTGACCTGAATCCGATAGAGCATGTATGAGACCATCTCAAAAGAAAAGTTAGAACTCGTGTAGTAGTCCCGAGCAACATTCAAGAATTAAAAAGCGCCTTATTGCAAGAATGGGAGTCTATTACACAAGATTATCTAAAAAAGTGTGTCAAATCTCTGAAAACCCGATTAAAAGCTGTAATTAAAAATAGAGGCGGTAATACGCATTATTAAAAATCATAAAACCAATCGAAATCTTTTAATTTTCCCATCAATTAGCGGCTTATATTTTTATACCAAACTCGCGAAAAATCAATAAATTTGATTTTCCTCTATTTTCGACCAATATATTTATTTAAATTATTCAACGATTATTGATTTAGGTACCTAGGGCAGCTACATATATAATAACAAAATTATTAAAAAAATATCATATCTTAAGTTTGTCCATTTTCTCTGGGTGGCCCGATTTTTTTGCACGCCAGTGTATATATATATATATATATATATATATATATATAAACTCAAAACAATGTAAAGTGCACTTCATTACCTTTACATTAATTACCTGTATCATTAAAAAACCAATTACTATTTCTAACCAGGGACAAATCAATAAGTTGTTGGAAAAAATGCTCACTTAAGGAGCGCTAGTTGAGCTACCTTAAAAGGGTATAAAATTTCATGTCCAGGTAAAAAATGGATCAGTCGCTACTCAGACTTTTGAGTGAACACACCGGAACAACATACGCAAAATAACAATATCTGAAGATGGATACAACCCCGGAAGAAGCCGCTTAAATCATTGCGCTATTGCAAACAGGACTGCGACAGGTTGACGTTGCTCGACAGTTGAACCTTAGCCGATTCTCAGTTCGACGAGTATACTAACGGTTCCGTGAAACTAGTGGCTATACCCGAAGACGTGGATCCGGAAGAAAACGCTGCACATCAGAAAGAGACGACCGATTCATTGTGTCCACGTCGTTGCGCTACCGCTTCAGCGATGCTGTTGAGGTGCAACAAGAGGTCCGATCAGCTCACAGAACCTCTGTGAGTGTCTCTACGAATAGAAGACGATTGAAAGAAAAGGAATTAAGAGCACACGGGCCCAAAATTGTCCGTGCAGCATCGAAGAAAGCGGTTGCAATTTGCTCAGAAGCATGCCAACTGGACGCTTGACCAGTGGAGGACCGTTCTCTTCACCGATGAGACACGAGTATGTCTTTTCTGCAACGACAGACGCAGAAGAGTATACCGAAGAAGAGGAGAGCATTTTACCCAGGCTTGTATAAAGGAATCCGTCGAATACGGAGGTGGTTCCTGTATGTTCTGGGGTGGCATATCCGTCGAAGGGAAAACGGAGCTTGTGTGCGTTTCTCGGACTGGCGGTGGTCGCGGGCAAGGGCCGCTGAATGCTGGGCGGTACATAACGCAGATCTTACAAGACCATGTGGTCTCGTATGCCGGTATTGTTGGCAATGGATTATATTAATGCATGATAACGCCCTTTGACACACTGCGTTTGCTTTGCGGGACTACTTGGAAGAGGTTGAGACTACTGTTATGCAGTGGCCAGTGCGAAGCCCAGACCTGAAACCGAACGAGCATTTCAGGGACAATCCAAAGAGGCACATACGAGCACGAGATCCTGCTCCCACCACTCTCCAAGAGCTACAGGATGCCGTGACGGAAGAATGTGGAGAACATACCCCAAGAAAGAATGATGACCCACGTAACGTCCATGAAGGATCGGATGGAAGCTGTCATCAAAGCAACGGGTGGAAACACTAGATTTTAAGGACTTATTTGTAATTTTTCTTAATGTTTTTAATTTTATTTTTTGTAACGTGTTCCCCATTTTAAGTTTTTTTTATTAAAAGATTTAAAACGCATACATAAGTTTTTAATTTCTAATAGGCAATTAAATTACCATTCCAATGATATCCTACAACTATACCCTTACTATTGACAAAGTTTGAGTAAAAGTATTTTAAAGTTGCTTTTTTATAAGGTGCGATTTTTGTGACGCCGAGTTAAAATTACGTTTATCGAAAATATATACATTTTCGATAAACATAATTTTTATGTTTACATTGTGTCCATCACTAGTTTACACGTGCTAATGACCGAGCGAGATAATGTTATGTGAATTTATCTACGAAAGAAAGGGATGTGAAAAAACTAAAAAGACATCAATGCGAGCTCTTTTTATATTTTATTTCTAGGTAATTATTATATATCTTTTTCAATTCAATGATTAATGATGGAATAATGACTTACCTGTGAAATGTAATACCATCTTTGGTTAGACTAGATGTTATACTACCCCGGGGGAGAAGCCAACTCCTACCGGGCGCGTCCCCAGGTGGCGGATAGGGGAATGCCACCCGCTTAGGGCGGCGGATGGTACCGGAGAAATCCGGCGCGGACCAAATGGCTTGGATGGGGCCGCTCGTCTAGGCCTCGAGCCGAAGACGTTGCGGCCACCGGTGGTGGGACCGCTTGGTCCCACAACCGGATGATGGGTGCCGGTTGCGGGACTGTGGTCGCAGGCCCGCATCCGGCGGAGGAGTAGGCCGCGGCGGGAGAGGAGTGCCGGTATTTCGGTGCGCCGTTCTCCCTACCTTCCGCGGCCTAGACGGGGCCGCCACCGTTCGATGGCGGACGCGGTGGGGCTGCAGGGGAAGAGGAGTGTCGGTGTTTCGTTGCCGCTCTCCCTGTCCTCTGCAGCCGTTTGGAGGTGGCCCACTTCGGTGGGCGGTGGTTAGGTTTAATGGGGCTGCTCCGGGTACCTCTCTGGCGTAGCAGAGTTGACTGTGGAGCAGCCCCATTGGATTGGTGGTCTGCCTTTTTAGGCAGACCTGCCGCCGGGGCGCCGTAGTAGTTATGCGCAAGCGATCCTGCGGCGTCCCATTAAGGCGGAGGGGAGGGGAATGTCGGGTTTTAGTGGGTAGTACCGGCTCTTCTAGCCGGTGAGCCCCACATCACCACCTGGGGGATCAGGTGGTATGCGTAAATGCATTTCCCGAAAAAAAAAAAAAAAAAAAAAAAAAAAAAAAAAAAAAAAAAAAAAAAAAAAAAAAAAAAAAAAAAAAAAGATGTTATACTACACTTTCCACACCATTTCACTGAACAATACGGCACTTTAACTAGTAACTCGGACAATGTTGTCGCTCTGACTGTCGGCGGCGGACTAAGGAGCGTAAAGGGGCGGGGCCGGCTGTTATGCAGTGTTACTGTCAAACCTTGGCTAAAACATACCCCCAGTAACGCGTCGTCTTTAGGTTATATTGTCTGTGCATAAACGTTAAAAATGAGAAATGACAGCAAAAATTGGTAAGACAAAAAGTTTATCGGACAGATTTAACTCGAGTCATTGTAATACGAAAATAACGTCCGACCATAAATATAACAATAAACCGAATTTGAGCCATACGGTCCACCAAATTCCCAACTTCTGGTTGTACTGAGAATTTCTTAACTCGGTAATTAAACTTGATCTTACTCGGGTATCGATTCCAGCGATCCTGTGACGCCTCATTAAGACGGAGGAGGTTTTGTGGGGTTTTAGTGGGTAACTGGCTTTTCTACCCGTTGAGTCCCACGTAACCACCTCTATGGCTACAGGTGGTATGCATAAATGAATAAGGACTACAGGATCTGCAACCGTGCATGCTAGTCAAAAGACCAACGAGATACTAGTTAATTATATTTACCTCTTCTATAAGCTTGCTTCGGTCTTCATCACTAATGCCCAGATTGATTTGACCCAAATCACCTTCAATAATACCGATTTTTTGTATAAAATCTGGTTTTTCCTTTCTTAACTTATTGTATAGCTGAAAAATATGAAAATTTAGTTCAGAAATTTAAAAAAATCCACTTCATTAAATTTTTTTTTTTGCAAAACTAATATTATTTGATGATACAGATAAAAAGTATAAAACGCAGTCCCACTTAGAATATATATGAATTTTGTAATATATTTTAACCTCGAAATATTTTGTATAAATTAATATTTCTTTTTTAAATCCGTATTTGTCTTCTTGGTAGCCCAGTGGTAACGCGCTCACTTGTGTAACTGAGTGAAGTGGGTTTAAATCCTGGGCTTCGCACTTCTGATATTTTCATGTGTAAATCATTTTCAACATTTCATTCCTATCATCACTGCCTTATAAAGGAGACCCGTGGCCAGCAGTGGGACGTTAGAAAGGGCTGAATCCTTCTTAATTCTATACTATATCTTGGGAAAATTATTAAGAGCTACTTCATATTCAGGCTAATATGTGTTTAAAATTCCATTCGTACTCAACAAACTGGGACTTTCTTATTAATCTGTCTATATTGTGCTTACCATATGACATGACTTGCCCTAAAAATATAATAGTAAAACCGTACCAAATCATCAAACTGCTCTTGCAATCTTTTCATTGGATCTTTATTTTTCTTCGCTCTCGTTAATAAATATAGCTTTTTAATATTAGGACAGGATCTGTAAATAACAAAGTTAATGGTTATGTTTTTAAACATACTCACCCTCGCCTGCGGGTCTCTTTTCTTCTGATGCTTGCTCATGACTCTCTTTTTTCCTTTTACTTACCTTATAAGCTTTTCAATCAACAGTTTTCCAAGAAATCCTGTACCCCCAGTCAAGAATATCGTCGAGCCAGAAAACATCTTCTGTATCTGAGATTCTTCTGAGCCTTCCACTATGTGTAGATGGTCGTCAATCTTGACGTCCGTTTGTTTGTTTAACGCCATCTTCTAAATAGTTACAAATAATTAATAGTCCGTATCTACAAGTACCTGGTTTCTAATTACGAATACATTGTTACTTATATATCTTTTGAAATTTCCTTAAGGTTGAACCGTTTCATGCACTTAAAAACTCACACTGACTGACTTTGTTGCACAGCCTGTAGTCTAGATTCTAGAATCCAAACTTTATATTCATCTAAAATCTAGACTGATGAAAATAAAAGAAAAAAATATATAATGAAAGAAAAAAACTGAGTGTAAGCAGTGACCTAAGCAAATATTTCAGCCAAACAAATCTATTATGTGATTGAATTACAACGTTCGGCTTTATAATTTATGTAAATAACTTTAACATTGTCTAGGGGCATTTACATACAAAAACTTTTATATATCAAAGTATAGACACCTAGAATACATAATAAACTAGTATTTCCGCTCATGTAGCTTATACATAACTAGCGACAAACCCTAGCTTCGCTCGGGTGCCTCCCTGGGTAGGTACCTACGTTTTAATTCTTTCGAGCGGAACCTTATTTATTTCTAAAGTAAAATTAGCTTAAGTTACTCATTATAATATCAGTTATCTGCTAGTGAAAGTCCCGTCAAAATTGGTCCAGCCGTTTCGAAGATTAGCCGGAACAAACAGAAAGACAGACAAACATTTTCAAAATTGTGGTTTTTCTTAAAAGTACCGTACCTAGCCGTGTGGTGGCGGCTTAGCCGTGTGGTGGCGGCTTTAGAATACATTCCACCACCCCTCTCTTTCCCGTGGGTGCCGTAAGAGCCGGCTAAGGGATTTATTTAGCAGAACACCTGCTTCACTGGTGGTAGACGTTAGTCGACCGGGTTGGTACCACCGTGCAGTTGCGAAACATCCGCCATAGTGATCCGGCGTAGGCCGGCTCGCGTTCCGGAGTCAGCGCTGCATAGCCGACAAGTGGTTAGATTTTGTAGCGAGTAAGGGACCGATAAGCTAGAAAGCATGTTCTAAATGGCATCAGTCGGCCCGCCGGCCAGGGAGACCTGTAGAAACGGTGGTGCCGCTGGCCGCCCGCGGTATAGTACAGGGGCCCAATTGGGACCAACCATTCCAGGAGGCTGCCCCACCAGGCCGCGCATAATCTTGGAGTAGCTCGTCGTGCCGGTTGGTGACCGGATGTGGGACCCGGCGACTACTTCCGGGGGGGTACGGGAGCCCTTCCGTCCGGCGGACCGGCTTGTGTCATTACATGCACTCTAGATTCCATTTTGTTCCTTCTCTGCTATAGTATCTGACCACTTTTTTTGTGCTCCGTTTTTTTCCCCTCTCCGTCCTATTATGACAGCGCGAATTCCACATTCAGGTTTTACAGCGGCAACTTCTAACCCCTCCCACACAAAAACGACATTTGAGGTTGAGTTCGCCAACATCCGCGGGCTCCATTCCAACCTCAACGCCGTACATCAACATCTTGAGACAGTAAGACCTGCAATGCTTTTCCTAACGGAGACTCAGATACTTCCCCCTGCAGACATATCATACCTACAGTATCCCGGCTACATCCTTGAAGAAAATTTTGTCGGAAAAGCTGGAGTGTGCCTGTATGTTAGGGCAGGTCTCTGCTGTCGCCGATTGCGCTGTTTGGAAGACCCCTCCTTTTCTGTCCTATGGGTACATGTTGATCAAGGACCCATTAATTGTATATACGTGTGCCTTTACCGTTCCCACACTGGAGATAATGAGACCACTCGACTATTTGATTATCTTAGTCAGACGGCAGATGATGCGCAGGAGCAGTTCCCAAATGCAGAACTGGTGTTCTTGGGGGATTTTAATGCTCATCATGAGACTTGGTTGGGTTCCTCCAAAACTGACCACGCAGGACGAACTGCTCACGCATTTGCTCTCACGCATGACCTGACACAGCTGGTTCTCCAGCCCACCAGGATACCTGACATTGTCGGTCAAGCTCCCTCCTTGCTGGACCTTTTGCTGACAAACGACCCAACTAAATATAACGTGAAGGTCGGAGCGCCTTTGGGCTCCTCTGACCATTGTCTAGTTGGTGCTACTGTGCCATATGTCATTCCTCCACGACCTGTGGAGGTGAAGCGACGGTTATGGCACTACTTGTCGGCTGATTGGGATGGCTTACGTGATTTCTTTGCGTCTGTCCCCTGGTCTTCACGCTGTTTTGGTGAGAGAGATCCGTCCGAGAGTGCAATCGCCATCGCTGATGAAATACTATTGGGAATGGAATATTATATTCCCTTCAGTGACGTTGTCGGCGGTGGTAGATCTCGTCCTTGGTTCAACCGCGAATGTACCGATGCTGTAGAGCAGAAACAATCGGCTTATCGTGCTTGGACTAGGGCCCGCTCCCTTCGTGATCCCAATGTCGAATCTCTCAAAACTGCTTATAATGCGGCTACTAAAGCTTGCAAGAGGGCTTACATTAGAGCAGATACTCAGCGCGTAGCACGATTTGGTCAAGAACTTCTTTCGCACCCTACGGGAAGCCGTAGCTACTGGCGACTGACCAAAGCCGTGCAACGTAACTTCTGCCAGCCTACGCTGCCACCGCTACGATATCCTGATGGATCTCTGGCCCATGACGCACAGCAGAAGGCCAATATATTGGCCTCTCTGTTTGCAGCCAATTCCCGTCTCGACGACTGTGGAGCCCAACCTCCGACTATACCATATTGTGGCACAACAATGCCTGATATCCAGATTAGGCAGCGTGATGTACGGTCAATTCTACAGTCGATCGACACCCGGAAAGCAAGTGGTCCTGATGGTATTCCTGCGATTGTTCTAAAAAATTGTGCAGCAGAGTTGGCTCCAGCACTAACGCGCCTGTACCGAAACTCCTATTCCTCAGGAATTGTGCCGAAGGCCTGGAAGGCGGCGAACGTTCAACCAATCCCCAAAAAAGGTGACCGTTCTGATCCCGCCAACTACCGACCCATAGCCGTCACCTCGGTACTGTGTAAGGTGTTCGAGCGGATCATAAACTCGCAACTCATCCGCTATCTAGAAGATCACTCCATTATCAATGATCGTCAATATGGTTTTCGACCAAAACGTTCGACGGGTGATCTTCTAGCTTTTATGACGCATCTATGGGGCGAGGCTATGGACAAGCATGGCGAATCGATTGCTGTTAGCCTTGACATCTCGAAAGCTTTCGATAGGGTTTGGCACCGTTCTCTTCTTTCCAAGCTTCCGGCCTACGGTCTGTCTCCTCGATTGTGCGACTGGGTGGCTGACTTCCTGCATGAGCGCAGTATCCGCGTTCTCTGCGATGGGCAAGCTTCTAGCTTCCTACAGGTGAACGCCGGTGTGCCTCAGGGGTCCGTTTTATCGCCAACACTCTTCCTTCTGCATATCAATGACATGTTATCCCTGGGTAATATTCATTGCTATGCAGACGACAGCACTGTCCACGGTCGATACTTTGGCCATCCAGCCGCTAATCGAATGGAGATAGATAACAGGAGAACAGAACTTGTCCGTGAGCTCGACGATGTCTTGTACCGCATCTCAGAATGGGGTTCAAAGAACCTGGTCGAGTTCAATGCCAAGAAGACGCAGGTGTGCGCGTTTTCGGCAAAAAAATCTCCATTCCTTTGTTTTCCCTCTCTTCAGAACACTCGCCTTACTATGCAGGATGGCATCAACATCCTCGGAGTTAATATCCGCAGCGATCTGAACCAAAAAACCATATCGAGAGTGTCATTTCGTTAGCTTCGCGTAAACTCGGGGTCCTGAACAGGGTGAAGCGGTTCTTCTCGCCTGAGCAGCTATGTCTACTTTACAAGACTCAAGTGCGCTCATGCGTTGAGTACTGCTCCCACCTCTGGGATGGCTCTGCAAAGTACTTGTTAGACGCTCTTGATAGATTGCAACGCCGTGCTATCCGCATAATCAATAAACCTGAGGCTACTCAGTACTTAGAATCTCTGCAATTGCGTAGAGATGTTGCTTCTCTAGCCGCTTTCTATCGCGTTTATTACGGCGAGTGTTCAGAAGAGCTCTTCCAACTTATACCCTCCTCTCCTTTCCTCTCCAAAACCACACGTGCTGGTCGGAAATTCCATCCTCACACGGTACTACCCATACCTTCTCGTACCAAAAGGTTTGGCAGCTCTTACCTGTGCCGCACTATTAGGAAATGGAACTCATTACCGTCTCACGTGTTTCCCTCTTCCTATAATCCTGGGTCGTTTAAACGGAACGTAAAAAAGCACATTTGCAGGCCGACGAGGTGAGGTTGATCGGAATCGAGATCAAGTCCCGGAACCGATGGATCTCATTCTGGATTCCACTGATGCTTTCCATCAGGCGTCATGGAGTCATCTTGTCGAGCGACAATAAAAAAAAAAAAAAAAAAAAACCTATTGGTCATGAACGAATCAGAGACTGGACCTGACATAAAATACAAATGTATGAAAACTAGTTCAACCAAGTGACGCATAACGCACACAAAGATTTTATTACATTATTAAAAACACTGATACACAATACAATATTTATGTGTGCTTGAACGTAATCGATAAAATACATATATCCATGAATCAATGAATGACATTTTAGACATTGGTTAGCATAGTCATCATATTTTTTATCTTTTAATTTAAAATATCTGTATTTATTATAATAAATTAAAATAAATGAATTAAAGAGCCAATAATAATGTGTCAAATAATAATTATTTTTTAATTTGGTTTATATAAATACGATGGCATTGATGGCAACATTCTGTTGGCCTATAATAATGGTAATGAACAAATGAATATCGGGTGTATATTCCATTAATATATAATAAATATTATTTTGTAAAGATTAAAAAAATATTAAGCTAATTTAATTAAATAAAGTGATTTTGTTGATTCTGTTATTGAATTATTTTAATTGGCAATTGATTGTCTTGGGTAGTTATAAAAATGTGACACTGTCCTAATATTGCTCAGTTCTTAATAAACATTTGTGAAATTAGGAAAAAGAAAAAGTGATAGCA